ACCAAAGCTAAACAGAAAGGGGAATTTATTTAACCTTTGGAAAGCCAGTGTTTTTGAGTCTCATGCTGATGATAAATGGGAGCGAGTAAGTGCAGCATATGGTTCCATGTGGTGAGTGTGGAACGCAGGGGAATGTGAGAATGTAAAAACTTCCAACCACTGAAGGCCTGGGAACAAGGCAGCACAAATGAGTATTGGAATAACCTGGGAAAGCTGAGATTGACAAACAGGAGGTGAATAATCCTGGGTGTTAAGTGGCTTTCCTTTCCGTATCTCACCTGCCTCGTGTTGTGTCTTCCACCTGCAATAAATCCCTTCCATTTCTGCATGTCAAAATTATGGCCACCTTTCAAGGCTCAACTCTCTGAACCCCACAATGAAGCCTTTGCAGATCACCCTCAGTTAGAAATAATTTCCCTGCTACCTACCACTTTCCCCTTGCATCTGGAGCCTTTGCTAATTTGACTCTGTACAAACTAGTGGGGATCCTCTGTATTTGTCTCCATATTTCATTGGCGAACTCAGTATTCAGTAAGGGTTAGTGAATGAACATGATGATTTAGATTAGTTTTTAAAGGAGTTTCAGTGCTTATATTTGTATTTATTTATTTTTTGTTTGTTTGTTTGTTTAGAATCTGGGTCTCACTCTGTGGTCCAGGCTGGAGTGCAGTGACACAATCATGGCTCACCACAGCCTTGATCCCCTGGGCTCAGGCAATTCATCCTCCTTAGCCTCCCAAGTAGCTGGGATAACAGGCACATGCCATCACATCTGGCTTATTATTATTATTATTATTATTTTTTGAGTTGGAGTCTCACTCGGTCGCCCAGACTGGAGTGCAGTGGCCACTCCTGGCCACCGCAGCCTCGACCTGCTGGGCTCCGGTGAGCCTTCTGCCTCAGCCTTTCAAGTAGCTGGAACTACAGGCATGTGCTACCACGCACAGCTAATTTTTGATTTGTTGCAGAGATGAGGTCTCGCCAAGTTGCCCAGGTGGGTCTTGAACCCGTGGGCTCAGGCAATCCACTCACCTCGGCCTCCCAAAGCAATAGGATTACAGGCTGAGCCACCGAGCCCAGCTATATTTGAATTTATAGTCACAGTGATGACAAGGGATCACCTGAAGAGACAAGTTGACTGTTTAATTCAGTGTTTCTCAACATGGGGCCAGAGTGTGTTCTCTCAGGTACACCTCTAACTCATTCTTTAGAATGACAGCAAAACTGTCTCATTTTCAAGGAATGTTCTGCCATCATTCACTTTCACAGCATCTTACACTTCTTCACACCACTGCAATTACTTACTCTCCTTCTCCAGATTATAAATTCCATGAAGGCAGTAACTACATCTGTCTCTTTTATCTATGTATCCCTAGTTCCTAGTATTGTGCTGTCACATAGCAGTTGCTCAATAAATATTTGTTGAATGAATAGAGGTGATAAAACTCAAAAGAAATAGAGACAAAGTTCCTGTCCTGCAGAGTCTGTTGGACCAGAAACATACAAGACAACATTACAAGCCAGCTCGGTGGCTCAGCCTGTAATCCCAGCACTTTGGGAGGCCAAGGTGAGTGGATTGCCTAAGCCTGGGGGTTCGAGACCCGCCCAGGCAACTTGACGAGCCCTCATCTCTACAATAAATCAAAAATAAGCCGGGCGTGGTAGCACACGCCTGTAGTTCCAGCTACTCGGAAGGCTGAGGCAGAAGGATCGCAGGAGCCCAGCAGGTTGAGGCTGCGGTGGCCGGGAGCGGACACTGCACTCCAGTCTGGGTGACAGAGTGAGACTCCGACTAAAAAAAAAAAAAGAAAAAAAAAAAGACAAGACAACATTACAAAGCAAATATTTATAGCAGAGTACAGTTCCTTCTAATTTAGAGAAGCTGATCTTTAAAGAGTTATTGGAGCAATCCTCTGTTAAGGCACACATAATGCAAATTAGTGCTAACCTCTATTCAAAGATTAGGGTGTAAGCAAGCCTTTGTGACTTTATTCTAGACTGCATGCCTTTCATTGAAATCCCTGAAATGGAAAGGGGAAGGGGGGTGGGGCGGAGAAGAGATGGATCAATTTTCAATAGGTGATGGTTCACACCTATAATCCCAGCACTTTGGGAGACTGAGGTGGGAGGATTGCCTGACCCCACGATTGAAGACCAGCCTGGGCAACTTGGCGAGACCTCATCTCTACAATATACCAAAAAAATTAGCCAGGCACGGTGGCAAATGCTTGTAATTCCAGCTACTTGGAAAGCTGAGGCATAAGGATCACCTGAGTCCAGCAGGTCGAGGCTGCTGTGGCTATGAGCGTTCCACTGCACTCCAGCCTGGGCGACAGAGTGAGACTCCAAGTTAAAAAAAAAAAATTTTTTTCAGTAGGATCCCCAGGATTCCAAGAATCAGTGTAGTTAGTCACGAGGTAGGGGAGCACTGAGTTAAGGTTACTTTGGCTCAAAATCCAGAAATAAAATTTGAGGAAAAGTCTGGGCTCGGTGGCTCAGCCTGTAATCCCAGCACTTTGGGAGGTCGAGGTGAGTGGATTGCCTGAGCCGCGGGTTTGAGACCCGCCTGGGCAACTTGGCGAGACCTCATCTCTACAATAAATCAAAAATTACCTGAGGGGGGGGCTAGCGCGCACTGTAGTTCCAGCTACTTGGAAGGCTGAGGCGGAAGGATCACCGGAGCCCAGCAGGTCGAGGCTGCAGTGGCTGGAGCGGCCACTGCACTCCAGTCTGGGCAACAGAGTGAGACTCCAACTCAAAAAAAACAATAAACAAAAAACAAACTTGAGGAAAAAAAGAAAAAGTCTATGTTATGATCTGAAGCTCAGCACAAAACGGGAGGACTGGTCTCACACAAGCCTGTGATTAATGATGAAACTGCCTCCCCTCCTGGCTGTCTTGGCATGGTTCTTGTCGTCGGAAGTACCTTGATGGGGTGTTAGAGAGCAAACTGAAGAGGGAGCCAAGGGGAGGTATGTGCTGACAGTTGGATTCTCCCTCCCTGAAGAGCTGTGGTGGCCCAGCCTGTGCAGGCAGCTGGACAAGCAAGGCTGATTCACAAAAGGGATCTATGTCAGCCGGGCTCGGTGGCTCAGCCTGTAATCCCGCGCCTTTGGGAGGCTGAGGTGA